CCTTTCCCTTTTTAAATCCAAAAACCCAGCTTCTATTTTGAACTCTTATCTCCACAATCATTTTATTAACATGGATCGGAGCTCGGTCTGTAGAGGATCCTTATATTTTCACAGGTCAAGCTCTAACTGTCATCTACTTTTCCTATTATATTACTGACCCTTTGGCCACCCTTTAACAGACCTTCTTCTAAAATGGCTATTTAGTTTTATTTAAAACAAATGTTTTGAAAGCATTTAAAGGAAGAATCTTCCAGTACCCATCAACATATAAATTTAGTTTACACTAAAATTAATTTTAGCCTAAGGAAAAAAATTAAAAAATTTAAAGATATAGGAAGAAACCTTTTTCAAGCCATATACATCAATTTATCGTATCGCAGTCGCGGTAAAGTTCCCCGCACCCAAATAAACGTAAACCCTACCATTACCAATTTTATATAAAATCCTAACCTTAAAACTCTCCCTCCTAAAAACAACAATGTTGACACTCCACTCATAAACAAAATTCTAACATATTCAGCTATAAAAATTAATACAAACCCCCCTCTCCTATACTCAGTATTAAACCCAGAAACCAACTCAGACTCCCCTTCTGCAAAATCAAAAGGAGTGGCGATTTATCTCCGCCAAACAAGAACCAAGCCAAACTATAGATAATGGAAATGTTAATCAAAACAAACCACATTCTTTCCTGATAATATCTCAATTCTATGAACCTAAATCTTCCAACTAAAAACACATAGGATAACAAAATTAAAGCTAACCTTACCTCATATGAAATAGTCTGTGCTACAGCACGAAGACTCCCTAATAAAGAATATTTACAATTTGAAGCCCATCCGGCCCTTAACAAAGGATAGACCCTTAATCTCAAACAACATAAAAAAAATAACTTCCTATATCAAAATCCACTAATCCTAAATCATAAGGAATAACCCCTCACAAAATTAAAGCAATAAATAAACTGAATACCGGCGACAAATAATAAGGTAAAAAATTAGATATTACCGGTGAATTCTGCTCTTTTACAAACAATTATAATAGCATCCGAAAAAGGCTGAAGTAACCCAGAATGCCCAATTTATAGGACCCCTTACGAATTTGAATATAACCTAAAATCTTACGCTCCAAAAGAGTTACAAACGCCACTCTAACTAAAACACAAACTATCAACATTAAATATCTCACATATTCTAATAGCCACAGCAACTGTCCTTAATACTTTTACCTATAGAGTGCTCTTCTATATAATTAAATTCAAATTTAACGCATATCCTCTGCAAAGTAAATTTAGTTCCAGGTACACACCTTCCAGTACACCTACTATGTTACGACTTATTCCACCTTAAGCGGAAGCGACGGGCGATATGTACATACTTTAGTTCTCATATCACACTAACTTACTAAATTATGTATTACAATTAAATCCCCCTTCACAGAAACTATTCTTTTACTGATTCGTAATAAATAAATTTTATTGTAACCCATTTCTTCTTACCCATAAACTGCACCTTGATCTAATATACTTTACTTCTCAAATTTCAATAACTACCTCAACAAAGGTTATCTGATAATGACGGTATACAAACTGCTAACAAGAGTAAGTAAGATTTTTCGTGTTGTATCATTACAGAACAGGTTCCTCTAACAAGACTAAAATACCGCCAAATTCTTTGAATTTAAAGACCATATCTATTAATATTCAAGTTTTATTTTTATCTTTAAGTATAATAGGGTATCTAATCCTAGTTTTATACCTTAATTTCCGAGTCTCCTCCTATTTATAATCCAACTTCCATTTATTCCTAATAAACCAATTTCACCTTTTATTACTATAAATTTCAATTTACCTTTAAACATAAGAATAACCTAAACTAAAACACCTTTACTAAGCTTTTAAGTCTAACCGCGATTGCTGGCACAAAATTTCATCAAACTTTTTATAATTTACTAAATCGGACCCTAAACCAATATTTAATCTTCCATACTGCGAATAACAAAACTACGACTTATTATAAATTATCTCTATTATACTTACTTCTTTCCCACCAAGATACACATATACCCTAATTATAAAATAAAAGTTCAAGCAAGAATCAAACTTTAAGCCTATCTCAACCTATTCAAGTAGACACCTTCTTCTAATCTAAGATTTAATCTTCTAAGAACACCTCTTAAAACATAAATCTACAGTTAACCCCTATAATTTTAACCTCCTTAATAAGAAATAATGCCTGATAAAAGGACATTTTTTGATAGAACTGCTAATGTAGCTTTACTACTTATACTACAAGATTCTCTCTTAAGTTTTTAGTAATTATACTCTTCAAATTTGCAATTGACGTCTTTTTTCCACTATAAAGCCTAATGCAACGATGATTTTTCTCAACAAATCATAAAGACATCGGCACTCTATACTTTGTGTTCGGAGCCTGATCCGGTATAGTAGGCACTTCCCTAAGACTAATTATTCGAGCCGAACTTGGTCAACCAGGAAGATTAATCGGAGACGATCAAATTTATAATGTAATCGTCACAGCCCACGCCTTCGTAATGATTTTCTTCATAGTTATACCAATCAAAATTTGGGGGTTTTTTGGGAATTGATTAGTTCCCCTTATACTTGGAGCCCCTGAGGACCCTCAAACAAATAAATATAGAACTCGGGGAACACTAATCAAGCTAATACACACCCCCTTGTTACCGCCCCAACCCTTAATGTCATTATTCCTTTTAACATTTTTCTATGGTTTTCCCTGACAATTATTACAGACCTTATATTAGAAAGCCTTCTTATTCTATAGTAAATTAAATCGAAATGTATAACATACTGTTAAGCCAGTACTCAAAACATAAAAAAAAATCTAAAAATATTAATTTCCCTTATAAATGCAACTTCTAAAATTAAATCTTTAGAATAAAATCCAGCCAAGAAAGGTAATCCCACATAGACCCAGGTTAGCAAAATTCATACAAACCCTAGTTAAAGGTATACATTCACTAACCTGCCCATATTACAAATATTTTGACACTCTTTAACTCTATGAATTACCAACCCCGCACACATAAACATAAAGCCTTAAATAAAGCATGAGTTAAAAATGAAAAAAAGCTAAATCAGCAACCCTAAAGATAAAATACTCACTAATCACGCCTAATTTCCCTCAAAGTTGACAAGGCAATAATTTTTTTTCAAATCAAACCCCAAAATTAGCCCCTAAGCCCGCTATAAATATGGTTAAGCAGGAAACAACAACAAAACCCTTTGTACACATAACCTCTTAAAGCCCCACTAAAGCGAATCAAAATATAAACGCCAGCTGTAACTAGTGTTGAAGAATGAACTAAAGCTGAAACCGAATAGGACAGCTATAGCTGCTGGAAGTCAAGCCGAGAACGGAATTTGAAGCTCTCTTAGTTATAGCAGCAACACACACTAAAATTTTCAATAATAAAAAATTCCCACTCAAATCCCTTTCATAAAAAATAAAATTTAAACCCCCCTAGCATAAAAAATAAAGAAATACTCAATAAAAACCCCAAACGTCTCCAATCCGATTTGACAAAACTGTCAATATACCCTGCATTCGCTGATTTCTCGTTTTGGTAATAAATTACCAATAATTAAGAAATTAACCCCAATCCATCCCAACCCTAAAAGGATTCTAATTAAATTCGGCTAATAATCAAAGCCCCTATAGATAAAACAAAACCAAAAACTAAATATATAAATCGCCTGTACCTCTTATCCCCGCTCATATAATCCCCCCTATAATATATTACCGTAGAGGAGATAAATAAAACCCCCCCTAAAAATAAGAACCTTACTAAATCATAAATCAAAGTCACTAACAACAGAGGAAGAATTTAAAGAAAAAAGCTCTCACTCAATTACATAAGAAGACCTCAAGCTTATTCTCACCAAACTAAATAAAATAAAACCCAATGCCCAAAATAACAAAAACACCAAACTCACAAAATGACTATAGGCACCCCACATCATGATTTAAAAATAACTTTCTTATACTTCGATACCACAACCCGATGTTTTACTCTAAACTATTTAAATTGAAAGGTTCTAGTATTTTTAAACAAAAAACCCTTGGGTCTTGTAAACCAAAGATAAAGCCCATTTTAGAACTTTATACAAAATCAGTTATAATATTTTATATTTCACTCTCCCTCTTACCCTAAGAGTTTGCTATCCTATTCACAAACTCTAACCCACCCTCTTTCCATGGGAAACTAGTCCTACTCACTCAAACTATTCTTATCTGTGCTCTTTCAGGCCTATTCGGACCTTCCTACTGATTCTCATATATCCTATTTCTAATTTTTCTAGGAGGAATATTAATTTTTGTTCATTTATGTCTCTTCTCTTGCTTCCAACGAAGCCTTTAAAATTCATTTTTAAAACCAGTCTACTAATCACTCTTATCCTTACCCATATCCTTTACCTTAATCTTTCTAGATCTCTTACTTCTCCCATCAAAATTTTCCAAATCTAGACATTCTTAATTCTAAGAAATAAAACAAATTTACCACCTTATCAACCAGTTCCATCTACTCCATTTACTTTTTTCCCTCTACTTTCTCTAGTAATTTTTTATCTCTTACTTACCTTAATTGTTATTGTTAGTATTATTAGTATCTCATAAGACCTCTGCGACCTTCAAAATTCAAAAAGAAAATAGTTTACTTAAAATATTAATTTTGGAGATTAAAGAAAAGTCCCTGCTTTTTTCTGATTATTTTTATTTAAAAAATTTCAATTACTTAATCCTTTCGTACTAAAATAACCTCTAACTCCTTAGAAGATAGAAACCAACCCGGCTTTCGCCGGTCTGAACTCAAATCATGTAAAATTTAAAGGTCGAACAGACCTTCTCCTGTACCGCTACACCACAGAGAAATTTTTAATTCAACATCGAGGTCGCAAACTCTCTTGTCGATAAGAACTCTTAAAAAAAATTACGGGTGTTATCCCTAAAGTAATTTATTCTCTAATCCTAAAAAGGGACCATATGAACAAATATCTCTGATTTAAACAAAAAAAAAGTTATATAATTTATATCCTAGTCGCCCCAACTAAACACCCCTGCTGATAATAAACTTTAACCCCCTTAAATCACTCTTAACCAACTTCATGTATAAACTTTATAGGGTCTTATCGTCCCTCTAACTTATTTAAGCCTTTTCACTTAAAAGTTAAATTCAAATCTCCGAGATAGAGACGCTTCCTTCTCGTCCAACCATTCATTCCAGCCTCCAATTAAAAGACTAATGATTATGCACCTTCGCCCCGGTCAAAATACCGCGGCCTTTTAGTCCCCAATGGCAGGTTTAGACTTTATATAACTCTCATATAGACATGTTTTTGATAAACAGGCGGAAGAGCCTATTTGCCGAATTCCTTACACTCATCACCCCTTCAATAAATCTCATTAATTCTCCAAAATTTATTTAAAACAAACAAATTATATACTAATATACTCACTTTAAATCTTTAAACTAAATTCATAAAAAGTCTTTCCTACCTACTTAAAAAATAATAAATACTCCTCTCCTTGTATCTCAGATATAACTCCCTGTAAACATAGCTACCCCTAAGCCTAGTTAAACATACCTTTCTATTTATTTTTATAACTAAAATAATTAAACAAAGAGCTAGCCCCCTCTGTTCCTAAGCCTTGCCTTACCTTAATGCAAAGAAAAAATTGAATTTTTTTCAAAAAAAACCAGATATCTTAAGACTCGATTAACATTTCACTACTAAAATAAGGTTTTGAATTTTTTTACCACAAAAACTCGACCTTTAATTTAGCTCTTCTTATTTCGGGAAGATATTATAAATATTTAATGTAAAATATCCCTAATACACAAGGTACTTAATTTAACTAATACTTCCCATCTATTTCACTAGAATATTTCAACTTTCCTGTACAGTACTATTATCTATCGCCAAACTATTATTTCCTTAGTTACCTACTTAAACCTAAAAATATTTTTCCTAATCATAATAATTAGCAAGTCTTCATAACAACCAAAATAAGTCACCCCTGCGACAACCTTTTCAACGTAAGTGAAATGCTAATCTTTAGCTTTACTTTGAATCTACAACTTTAATCTCTCAAACAAATAAACTTCGATCATCATAAAAACTGCGTATTTAATCTTACGAATTCTCCCATCCTCCTTAATGTCTATATATATATACATTTCTTTAAATGTAAATCCTTCTCGAATCATTCATAATCTCGTAAATCATATAATCCATTAGTATATATATGACATTCATAGTGTATCTTCGCACAGGTTATTATCTATCTCATTTAAGTATTTATATGCCTGAAGTTAGTATAACTCACAATATATATATATATCAAGCCACTTTATTAGTTAGTTCATTGCTATAATCCATTAATCTATATATATAATACTCATAGTGTATCTTCGCACAGGTTATTATCTATCTCATTTAAGTATTTATATACTTGAAGCTAGCACATAATAATAAATCTGTATATATCAAACTGTCTCATTAGTTAGTTTACTGCTATAATCAACTGACACTCATGTCTCTTTCTCAGTGTATCTCTTCGAAAATTAATATAAAGAAGTAACAGCTTCATTTTATCTTCTTCAATGATCATCTGTTAGGAATATCTTCGTGAAAATGGGGGAATCTAGAAGGAGACGATTAATACAGCTATAAGTAGAATCCCCTTTCTCACGAGGGGTTCTACTTATAGGTGTATTAATCGGTAGAGCTCAATATCATCGTTCTGCTTCAGTATAGATTAAAATCAGCTCACTCATACAATTATACCTAATAAACACCACTTCCATATAAAGAAATGTATATAATATATATACTAAAAAAAAAAATACACCCCCTTTACATGCTTTTTCATTTTATTTTTTAGACAGCTTACTCCTCTTCCCTCTTAAATCTTCTAAGAACAACAGATATTCAAAGAGGAATTCAAGATACTTTAAGACCAACCTCTACCCTTACCCCTTTTAATCCCTAACACTCTTTATGTAAATTGGAATCGCACCATCCCCGAAAGATCAAACCTTTTCGTGCCCTGTACACTTCTACATATACTATAAAGATAAGCTAAGTTTCAAGCTAATGGGCTCATACCTCATTTATGAGAGTAATCTCTCTTTATAATTTCATTCTCACCTTATAAAATCATTTTTATGTTCTCACTTTTGTCTGGGTCCTTCCTGGTCGTTTCTTCTTCCTCGTGATTTTCAGCCTGAATTGGTCTTGAACTTAATCTTATATCATTCATCCCTTTAACCCATCAAAAGAAAATCAGCTTCCATCTGAAGCCTCCCTGAAATATTTCTTAATCCAGGCCCTTGGATCAGCCATCATCATTTTATCTTCAACCTTAACATTTTTTATTCCAATAGTCTCGCTCTCATTTATTTCCTTAGCTCTTCTCCTTAAACTAGGGGCTGCCCCCTTCCATTTTTGATTTCCCCAAGTCATAGAAGGTCTTAATTGAACCCAAGTTATTATTCTCATAACAATCCAAAAACTTGCCCCAATATTCTTGATCTCTTACTTATCCTCAGAGTATTACACACACATGCTTCTTTTTTTGGTGGGATCTCTTCTGCTATTATTGGAGCACTAGGGGGAATCAATCAGACATCCCTCCGAAAAATCTTGACCTAACTCATCTATCAATCATCTATCATGAATACTTTTCGCCATGCTTATTAATGAGACCTCCTGAATAATTTACTTTCTTATATACACTCTAATCTCGGCTTCTGTGGCCTTCCACTTCGCATCCGCCCAGACATATTTTTTTCCTCACTTAATTAACGCAAATTACGGTCCCCTCCCCAAAATCATCTCGTCTATAAACCTTTATTCTCTAGGAGGCCTACCGCCTTTTTCAGGTTTTATTCCTAAATGAATTATTACCCAAGAAATAATTCAATCATCCTTCTACTTACCTTTATTTATTCTCCTTCTTTCTTCTCTAGTAACTCTTTACTTTTACATCCGAATTACTTTATCCTCTATCTCAATTTCCTCTACCCAAATAAAATGGGGCATCCCCCTTAAACCCCTTAAAATCCTCCCATCTCCCTTGTACACCTCAATCAATTTATTCGGACTTTTTATCCCATCCATACTTTTAGTTATCTAAGATTTTAAGTTAATTCAAACTAACATCCTTCAAAGCTGTCAAAAAAAGTAATAATCTTTTAAATCTTACCTTTAATTGACAAGAAAGTACAACTTCTACTCAGATTTACAATCCAACGCCTTTAACCTCAGCCACCTTATCCTATAGATCGCACAAAATTAATGAACCCTTCACAATCATGATATTTAACGGAACACTATGCATTAACAAGACAAAATACTCCACTACCTTTCCAGAACAACAAGAAAATAAGGCATTTAAAAATAACCCATGCTGCCTTAATGAATACATATATAAAGTATAACAAGCCTGAAAAAAGACAATATCCCTACTCTAAATATAATTAATTTCCTTCATCTAACCACTCTAATAATTAAACTAATCTCTCCTATTAAATTTAAAGTTGGGGAGCAGCTATATTTCCTGCAACTAATAAAAACCACCATAAACCTATATTCGGTATAACATTTAGCAACCCTTTCCTAATTATCAAACTTCGCCTCCCTAACCGCTCATAAACTATATTGCTAAACAAAATAAACCTGAAGAACATAAACCATGACCTACCATCACTACTACAGCCCCATTTAAACCTCACCCTCCTATAACAACCAACCCTCTTAACACTAAACCCATATGAGCC